AACTGAAGAAATTACAGTTCTTCAAAGGTCTCAGTCTACCTCCGGTTTCAATGGATGCAATGGAGCTTTTCATTTTACCAGCAGATTACGGATTATTTTCTGCCAGATACTATTATACTATTGGGTTCACAATTACTTTTCTATATTTTCTGTCCATTCACAGGAAAAATTTTTTGGATTTTTCTTTTCAGTTTAGCTTTTTAATACCATGTTTAGTTTATTTCATGTTAAAAATTTGTTAACATGGCAACCACATTAACTTTAAAAAAAAAGAAAAAACTTAACAGGAAGCTATTGTTAAACCTGCAGGTGAGTCAGGCAGATACAACTTTTTAGGGAGGAGCTTTTTGGGAGACGGATTACCAAAGGGCAAGGTTAGCTGTAGATGGAAACCAGTAGCCTTGTCTCCCTAAAATATTATATATTTGGATAAGACATCTCAAAAATATGTCTAGGAAGTTCAATCCTCCTGATAATCCCATTCCATTTTAACTCCAGTGTTTGAAGTTAGAAAACTTTGGGTTTTCTCTTGTCATTTTTGTGGGTCGCAGGATTAATATATTTAACAACATGATGGGACTCTTTTAACTATTTGGGCTTAGTTTTTATTTCACGTTTATGTTCATTTTTCTTAACATTTTCTTCTCTTCTGCCACTTGTTATTTCTTCTGAGTTGTCTGACTTCCTTCTTTGTGTTTGTGTGTTTTGTCAAGCTTCCTCTTTTTTTCTTCTGCTTTCCCAGATCTTGCCAGTAGAAATTAATAAGGACTGTGTACTTTGCAAACAGTCTTTACACATTTATCTAAGAGGGAACTTCTATTGCATCACACACTCTCAGCTTCCTGTTGCAAATTTTTACTGAAGATAGGTTCCGAAGAGGTAATACTGAGCACCGATTTTTTCCTAGGAGACTTATCAGCTGAGTCACATCACTGTTTGTCCCATCTCAGTCTGTTTTCTGCTGCTATAACAGAATACCACAGAATGGGCAATTTATACAGAACAGAAATTTATTTCTCATAGCTTTGGAGCCCGGGAAGTCCAAAAGCATGGCGCTGACATGTGGGAAGGGTCATTCCATGGCCAAAGGACAGAAGGCAGAAGTGAGCATAAGATAAAGAGGCAAGATGGGGGATGAACTTAACCTTTTATCAGGAATCCGGTCCTGCAATAACTAACCACGATAATGGCATTCATCCATTTATGAGGGCAGGGCCCTCATGACCTAATCACCTCTTAAAGGTCCCACCTCTCAACACTGTTACAATGGCAATTAAATTTCAGCATGAGTTTTGGTGGGTACATTCATATCATAGCAGTCCTCTGAACAAGCTACCTGTAAGGAAGAGACTATTTCACATATTATTTTTACATTCCCTACATTATAAACCAGTGTTTTCCAAGGGTTAGTCACCTGCATCAGACTCACCTGGGTGCTGGTAAAAATGTATACACAGGCCCTATCCCAAGCCTATAGGAATCTTCAGTTTTTAACAAGCTCTGTAGATGACTCTTATTGGCACCAATGTTTGAGAATCATGGATGTGGCAATACATTCACCAAGTAATAGGTCCTTAATAACTATCTCATGATTGATATACTATCCCCTTACTAATTTCCAAATATTTCTCTGATGTGCTGAATGTTGTCTGGGCCTTAGCCCTGTGTTTTTGATCATTGCCTGGATATGCTTTCTTGAGCATTTTTTCATCCTCACTCACTCAACATATTTAAAACTACAACATCTATTGGATGTCTCCAATGTCATCATCCTACTGTTATCCCAGAAGTCTTTGTTGGAGTCATTCCTTACTCTTTGTATTCCACCATTTTTACTTAACATATTGGCCATCATGCCAAGCACTGGAAAAGGCAATGATGAACAAGACAGACATGGGACATGCCCTCAGGATCTTAAAGATTCTTTTACAGAGAGTAACTTAATCCTGTAGATTCTTTAGTGTTTTTCTCGGAATATTCTTACTTTGTCACCATCCTAATCTAGAATCTTATCATTTATGTCTACTGATTTAATTTTTTCCTAATTAGTCTTTTTGCTCCTAATTTCCCACTTCTTTTGAAGGATTAATCTGCTGAAAACTTAATTTTTAAAACATTATAAATGTTTTTACCCCACTCGATGCCTTCTTGTTTCTGTGAAAATTGTCAGAGTCAAAATGGAATCACAACAGATGTGGTGGAGGGCACCTGTAGTCCCAGTTCCTTAGGAGGCTGAGGCAGGAGGAGCGCTGGAGTTCAAGAATTCGAGGCTGTATGCATGATGACCTCACCTATGAATAGCCACTGCACTCCAGCCTGGGCAACAAAGTAAGATCTCTGTCTCTAAAAAGAAAAGAAAAATGGAGTCACTAATGTTAAGAAAACGCTGACAAACAGAGCCAGTGAAGGACATGAAGAAAGAGGTCTCATGCTTATATGCCTGGTAACAAAAACTATCTCAAGAGACTGCAAGATTGTGGAATTGTGCACAAAGGCCATGGCAACCTTACACACAAAAAAAATACTTCTGCAAGGACATCTGCCCAGCAAATGCCTGTCCAATCTTGGACTGGCATCACCCTTGTTTTTGATCTTCGTAGCCCAGGGTAATTATTTCGAAACAATTATATAATCCTTTTTTTTTTAAAAACTTTTGTCTTCTTTCATCTCCCTGAACACACATAGTAGTTTACTATGCCATCAGCATTTTCCTTGCAATGCTTTATCCCCAAGTAAATATCTTTCTTTCAGAGAGCCTCTCTGGGTTTGTTACTTAGGTCGACATTTCCAAATGTTTATTGGCTGTTTTCCAAACTAGATTCAAGACTCTTTAAAATCTGGCCCTCAGATGAATTCTCCTAGATAAACTCTTCTATCACTATCAAATAGATATCTGAACTTGATTTAAACATTTTTACTTATTTTCTGGGCTTATGACTCTAATTATCTTTATTATTGAGCAAACCATATTTTTCTCTTAAAGTCTAATTCCTTCCCCCACCAGCATGGCTGGAACTTGCTTTTGCTTCAGCTTCTACGGTGATTCTCTGCTTTACTCATTAAGCATTTAGCATGTGTTCCTTGGTATCATTACTTATCTTTTTCTAATTCCTCAATTACTCCATTAGCTTCCTGAATGTAGAAGTAATGTTTTATAAAATTCTTTCTCCTCCTTGTCTAGTCCAGGCTTGTGCATAGTAAGTGTTCAATAAATACTCATAAAATTCATTACATTCACTTATGTATGCATTCCTTCATCAAATAATTATTTAATGCCCAATGAAAACCAATATGGTCCTTGCTTTTATGGAGCTTACGATTTAGTTGGAAAGACCAATATTAAACAAATAATTAAAATAAAAATTAGATGATCACTAGCTTTATTCATCTGTTAGTAAAGAAATATTTACTAAGCACCCATCATAGGCCAGGCATTGAGTACAATATAAAGCTGAAAGGCTAGTGGAGAAGAATCATATAAACCATTAAAATACAATGTTATAAGTGCAAACAAAATATTCCAGGAGCACAAAGAAGGGTGCAACTGTCTCTGCCAAGGACAGTCAGGAAGGCTTCACATTTTAGTTGGGTTCTGAACGTGAATTTAAACAAGGGGTTGGATGAGGGAATATTTTTACAATAAGGTCAGTTTTTGGAAATCCGATAAGCCCATTCCTATGCCATTCTGAAGAGAGACCTAAGTTAAACCCAAGATGCTGGGAATTGAAGGGTGAGCAGCTAAGACAGAGCTGAGGAGTGTGGCAGCCCTATGACAGTTTACTGCCCCGATGAATGGCTAGGTCTGGGTTGCCTTTGTTTAAGTGCTTCATTGGCCCTGCCCCCTCAGCATGAATAGTTTTCCTAGGGAAAGCCCCTCGTCACTCCTATAGGCTTCTTCAACACTCAAGACAAAATTAATCTGTGATCATTTCCTCTAAGAATCATAGAACGATAGAATTGAAAAGGATACGGAAAATCATACAAGTCAGCTGTTTCTAACTTCCATTCCCCCAAATCTTAGGAATTCTCAAAGTGGCAAATGAAAACATGTAATCAATTTTCAATATTCCAAAAAGCCTACCGGAAGCTGCACATTTTCTGGTGGTATTAAACGCCACGTTTCCTTGTTTAAAGCTACAATTATTATATCAGATCCACATTAAGTCGAGGTTCCAACCGAGCTGTGGGCTGATGAAGTATAATCTGTTTTCCCATTAGTATGTTCAATTTGGCAAACAACTTTTAAAATACAGGAGTGAGGTCATGCTTGAATAAAATTGGTAACACTTGCTACAACGTCTGCAATCTAAAAATCACTTTTCACTGACTTCCTCTTAATTTATTCCTCACACAGCTGTGGGATGAGTAACAGCAGAGCCAGGAGACGCGGGCTCGGTGCACCGCTCTTTACACCTGTTCCGAGCTTCCAGGTTCTTTCCGTGCTCCCAGTTTACAGCACATTCATTCCCAGACTCGGAAGCACCTGTCGCGCCCTGCCATTGGATGACAGTGCCTGCTCCTCCAGAGGCAGGGACGGCTCCCTCTTCCCGTTCAGGAACGCGGTTCGCGCGCACGCATGCGTAGCACAGCGACTCCGCGTCGGCGCGGCTCTTCGCGGCCTGGGGCGGATACCCTGGGTAACCCGCGAGCGTCCGCGCCCGGGGCGCGCGTGCGCAGTCGCTTTTTGAGTGCTTTCCCCCTCCCCCCACCCCGGACCTTTAAACTACCCACCATCCCTGCCATTCGTTCTACCCTCCTCTACCCTTTCACTCCGTTAGACGACCTGCCCTCCGGTACGACACGAAGAAGAACAGCTTGAGACCGGGAGACTCCCGGCGCCAGGGAACCGCCGCCGCCGCGGGCGCGCCTTGCGTGTCTGAACGCCGCCCGGCTGCGTCCCAAGTTGTATCCCCCGCCGCTCCCGCCCCTTCCGCCGCTCGCGCGCGCGCGCACGGCCGCCTCGGCGCGCCGGGGTTGGCTGCGGCGGGGCCCGCGGCGGCGGCGGCCTAGACAGCGGTAGTGGCTCGTACTCTGCTTTTTTAGTTTCCTCCGCCCCCTCCCGTCGGACGCTGTTGTGTGGTTGCCTTAAAAAAACCAACTTTATTGTTCCTCAGCCCCACCTCCCGGCGCGGCGGCGTCCTCAGGATGCACTGAGGTGGAAGGGAGGGGAGGCGGCGGAGGGTCGCGGTCGCGGTCCCTCTCCTCCGAGCGCCCGGCCGGAGGGGAGGGAATCACAATGTCTGGTAGCCGCCAGGCCGGGTCGGGCTCCGCTGGGACGAGCCCTGGCTCCTCGGCGGCCTCCTCGGTGACTTCCGCCTCCTCGTCCTTATCCTCTTCCCCGTCGCCCCCTTCCGTGGCGGCTTCGGCGGCGGCGCTGGTGTCCGGCGGGGCGGCCCAGGCCGCGGGCTCGGGCGGCGGCGGCGCCCCGGTGCGGCCTGTGTTGGTGGCGGCCGCCGTGTCGGGCAGCGGCGGCGGGAGCGGCGGCGGGGCGGTGTCCGCGGGCCTGTCCCGGCTCAGCTGCGCGGCCAGGCCCAGCGCCGGCGTAGGAGGGAGCAGCTCCAGTGTAGGCAGCGGCAGCAGGAAGCGACCTCTGCTCGCCCCGCTCTGCAACGGGCTCATCAACTCCTACGAGGACAAAAGCAACGACTTCGTATGGTAGGTTTGAAGAGCGGTCCCCTCCTCGCTGAATTACGAGTTTCTGCTGCTTGGGCTGGTGGGCTCCGGTGCGAGGGTGGCCTGCCGGAGAGCTCGGGATACCGGCACCGCGGTGGTGTCTGCAGAGGGATTCGAGCGTTTGGGGAACATTCAGGCTCCTGGTCGGTGGGGCGGGGGAATGTCGGGGTCTCGAGGCGGGGGAGGAGGAAGTGAGGGGAGGAGGTGGAAGGTCAAGGGAATGGTTTGGATAAAAGGGGAAAGTTGGGCAAGGAGGTTGTCTCTCGAACGTGTTGGCTGTCTGATGAATTAGGTACCTAGTCTGTCCGGAGTAGTTGTTGAGGTGAATTAAATTTGGAAAGGGAGAGGCTTAAGCTTCCTGAGATTCAGAGGGATGGAGTTGTCGTCAGAATTTGCTTATTCGAAGTATGGTAGGTGATGAAACGTGGGTACGGGTGTTTTAGGAAGCAGTTTGTAATGTAAGTACCCGTCGTGGTGTGTGTAAATATTTCTCTTCTCCCATTTGAAAGGGTAGGCCACTTGTAAGTCTGCTGTTGAGGCTGCTGAAGTCAGTCCGTTCGCAGAAAATTCCACTTCTCAGCTAAGTGTCTTGAAAGAGGGAACCGCATTTATTAAGTATCACTCGTGTCAGATGCACCACATCGTAACAGAGTGTACTCGAACTTCCGACTTGAGAAACGCTGGGTATGGACGTTTTGTCGTCAAAGTTGGCATCTTGAACGATAAAGAGTAGTATTCGGTCATGCTGTTTGACACAGAAGGGTTAGTCATATTAAGCGAAAGGTGGTGTCAGTTGCCTTCCTGTGAGTGTTCTGAGATTTCCATTGGATTTTAGATATTGTTGGTAGGATTATGAGAGAGTAATTGTTTTTCGGTTGTTAGGAGCTAGTGGTGGTTTGTGCTTTTCCTCTGGAGGAAATTTTTGATAGAGTTGGAATATCAGTGATGTAGGAAGTTGGCTCGCACAGTCATTATGAGGGAAGTTGATTCATTTTAGGCTTGAAGATGGTCTGAGTTGGCGTTAGTAAATATGATAGGGTTAGAAGTTGGAATTATTAGGAAAGTTATTGATTAGAATTACAGTTGCTAGTTCTTGCAGAAAAATAACGATGTCTTTATTCATATTTCTGCTTTTGTCTTTATTCTGAATTCAGAATTTATTTTTCATCAAAACTTTTGGGTTGTAATTGTGATTGTTGATAAATTAAGCAGTTTATGGTTGGGTCTGATATGGGTTTGCACTTCTGCACGGTTGAGAGTGCCACGTGATATGGTAGAAGGTAATAGAACAAAGTGGGGGTTTGCAGAATTTACTTGTCTTTTTAGCTACTGTTTGCATTTCAATTTTTAGTACATTTGAAGTAAACAAACATGCTAGCATCCATCTGGGTGCACTAAAATAGTGTAAAAGATGTGAGAAATAAGAGTCACTCAGTCATTCCACAGATATTTGACATTCACTGTCTGCCAGGCACCTTATGAATTTCAACGTAATATAGGCTGTTGTACAGAATTGGAGACACTGATTTTATGTTTAGGAGTAAGATTGTTAAAATTTTATTAGTTCATCACCTAATTTTTAAAAATTTCAGGACAGGAGTGGAGGCTCGTGTCTGTAGTCCCAGCAACTTGGGAGGCTGAAGCGGGAGGATCGCTTGAGCCCAGGAGTTCGAGGTTGCAGTGAGCTGTGACTGTGCCACTGCAAACCAGCCTGGGTGACAGAGTGAGACCCTGTCTCTAAAAGGAGTCGGTGTAGTGTGAGTCCTAACCATTTGCTTAAATTATTTTTTATATTCCAGTGTGGAAGCATCTAATGAAAATCTTTAGTTAAAAATTCTAAGTATTTTATTTTCTGTCTAAGAATCTCATTAGTCTGTTATTTCTTTTTCTGGTAAGGTTGAATATTCAGGAGAATTAATTAATGAGAGTCTGTTTTGAAGACTCAAGCCTGGTTTGATTGTGGCGAATTCGGTAGGAAGACTTGGATTAGGCAAGGCCCAAGGAATCCTTTTCATTTCTGATTGGTTCTGAGTGGTTGGTTTTGTTTTGTATGCCTCGAGGTCAAATTACTCTATGCTTTTATGTCTGATTGAGGCCCAAGTTCAAATAACTTGGGCCTCAAATAATGATGATAATTCCTTATTTATCTACAGGACATTTTAAAGATACGCTTATACTTCACATTTCATGTTATTTTAATATAATGCTAATATATTCCCATCGAAGCACAGAGAAGTAATTTTGTTTCAGATTGGCAGGTAAGGACAAAAATGAGAACTCAGATCTCCTGATTCTCAACTTACTGCTTTCTTTGTTTGCAGTTAGAAAATTTCAGATCTGTAAGTACATGTATTTAGCTTAGTGGTTCTTAAATGACATAGATTAGAGAGAAGCAGCTGTTTCATAATCACATGAGATAAATGTTTTTATCCCTAACTTCTTCCTTTCCCTGCCTGCCCACATCCCAAGGGGACATACCAGAATTTGAGGCTGGGGTGGGCAGTGTAGTTTACAAATGCTCACCTGGTAATAAGGACATGGCCTCCTCCCCTCCTTAAGAACAGTTGATTTAAATAGTCACATACCTAATTTCAGTAACACATATTGGCCTCTCCTGACTTATGTCATATTTGAAAGTAAGTTTATATTTGATTGAAGAATTGATAAACATTTTAGGGATTTATAGTTTGTATTTTAATATTTTATTTCACACAAAGAATTGAAAATATCAAGTTGCAGATAATTTTAAGTGTTTTATCGATGGAGAATCTGTGGTATAGGAGAGAGTAGTATTTACTTTGACATTGGATAAATCTTCAGCATTGAAAGGCAGTTTTTGTTACTTTGATTTTTTTTCAAATTTTTCTTATTTGGCCCGTTTAATTAAACTATGAATCTAGCCTGTATTTGGAAGTTGACTTTCTTTCTTTTAATGTGACTTTCTTTTATTCTGTAACATAACTGCTGCCTCTCTGTTACTGCCAACTATCTGAAATGACCTTTTCTACCTCTGCAAGTTCCAGTTATTTTTCAAGTTGTAGCAGAAACATTAATATGTGTTTGCAAGTTGGTAGTAAGCTCCTTGTGGGAAGGTTGACTTTTAATCACCTGCTCTACAGAAAATAATTAGGATCTACCACATTAAATAGATCTACTATTGAATAAATATGTGACTGCCTATTTTGTGTCAAACTAAGACACACTCTTTATTCTTAAGGAGCTCATGATTTAATGTAAAGACAGACTTTTAACCACATGATTATAATACATAACCTGGCATCATTGCATCTCTTAGTACCATGGCAGATGTTAATACCGTTCCCTTTTCTTAGTACTATGGCAGATGTTAAATACTGTAATGAATTTAGTTGTTGTCTGAAAGTCCTTAACATAGCACTTTGTGTAGCTGTTACCTATTGATCACATTTAGTGCTAAAGATGAAAGCCGTTGACCATTTTTGTTACTATGTTTTTCAGAATATTAAAAAGTGAAATAGGAGATATCGTAGAACCTGTTATAATAAAGATAATAAGGTTCGATGAAACTTTTGGTATGAGCAACATATTTCTTACTGGGTGTCAGGGTTAAAAAATTGTGAAAGTCACTCAGTTATGGGATATTACATCTTTGATAGTTAGGAAAGTAAGTGGAAGATTTAATTGGCCTTTTACTAAAGGATGTGTTGATTAGTAATCTTTTCCTTTTATAAGTCTTTGTACCTTTTCTGATAATGAACCAACATTACATAGGTAATCATATTTCATCTAAGAATTGCTATCAAAGTAACTGCAACCTTAAACCTTGTTGCTGACTGTTCCTCCTTGTATATGTATGTTTTGTATGTTCTTTTTTTTTTTTTGAGACAGAGTCTCACTCTCTTGCCTGGGCTAGAGTGCCGTGGCGGCAGCCTAGCTCACAGCAACCTCAAACTCCTGGGCTCAAGCGATCCTCCTGCCTCAGCCTCCCAGAGTGCTAGGATTACAGGCGTGAGCCACCATGCCCGGCCGTATGTTTGTTCTTGATGGTGATTGTTTTCTGTTTTATGTAATTATTTTAACCAACGCTTTTCCTCAGAAAACTTCCACAGATTGGGAGGAAAGACTTTTTTGATAGTGAAATTAGCCAATCTTCTCTTTCCTAGTAAAATTTACAGGTCAAGTATCCTTTATCCAATGCCTGGGAACAGAAGATTTCAGATTTTTTTGAATTTTACAATATTTGAATTATCCTTAGCATCCTTAATCCAAAAATCCGAAGTTCAAAATGCTCCAATGAGTATTTCCTTTGAGTGTCATGTCAGCACTTAAAAAGTTACAGATTTTGGAGCATTTGGGATTTTGAATTTTCAGATTAGGGATATTCAACCTGTACACAAAATAAAATGCTTTTTAAGCTGGGTGCAGTGTTGCATGCCTGTAGTCCCAGCTGCTTGGAGGCTGAGGCAGGAGGATCACTTTAACCAGGAGTTCTAGTCCAGCCTGGGCAACATAGCAAGACCGCGTCTCTTAAAAACAATTAATATAAAATGCTTTTTAAATTCTTGACCTGGTACTGTTGGTGTTTCCCCACCCCCATTTTTGCCCTCCACCATGCTTTTTCTTTGCCCTGTCTTTCTTCATATATTAATATGTATGTGCCAGGTTCTGTTCATATAGCTCCCTACCTTCTCAAATAATATTTTCATTGAGAATAACATGTTTTTTTTTCATATCCTCAAATATAAGTTCTTTCATTTTTCACAACTTCATGAACTGATTTTGTCTGTTTCTTTTAATACATAGAGTAAAGGGTGGATTGCAATAGGTGGTCTGATTTCTGTTTATTCTATCTCTTGTGTAACCTTTGGGGATCCATGCTTTTTTCTAGTCTGTGATTTGGGGTGGGTACGCTCCTTCCCCAAACTCAGAGTTGGAACACATGATCCTGGCCCAAATAATCTAGTGCATTGGAATCCTCTGCCCTCAGTATTAGTTCAGGGGTG